ACAAGGAACTGAAACGTCTGTCTCTTGGAGTCTTTTAACGTGGATGGCGGCCTTGCTTTTTGCTTTCAGACTGATGGGCTACTCCGCACGCGGACGGGGGCGGCGGTGCCGCTTAACTGCACGACAGTAGGAGGTCGGTGAGAGGCCAGCGCAGGCGGGTTAGCTTCTGTCTCCGCATCAGGGATCTTATTCTGACGTTTTTGTAGATACGGACGTAAGTCCAGTGTGGGGACGCTTCTCCTGCCACTCAGTCCTCCTCTGACACGGGACAGGGAAGGAGCGTGACAGAGGGACTTTGGTCAAGTGAAAGTTCGGCTGTGTCCTCCCGGAAACTCATGGTAGCCCGTAACTCCTGGAGCAGGTCCCTTCCCAGACGTGGGTGTGGGCATTCGGGCATCACCAGGAACGAACGGGTAAGAGTTCCTGCCCCCAGGTTGGTTGTTCTGGTTTTTGTCTGTGGACAAGCTTTAGTGTTTTCTGTGGCTCGCTGTACTAGAACTTTTCCATCAGACACAGGCCCTACCGCCTCTTGCGGAACCGAATGCATTGCCCCGGCATCTACCGGAATGGCATTGGCTTGCTCCCCATCTTTCGTGTTTCCTTGGGCTCCTGGGGGCGCATTACGATGGAGCCCCGGCCCCGTGATTTTGTATTTTTTATAGGGACCGGAGCCGGGGTGGCTGGTTTTTTAACTTGCAGCTGGGCATATAGGGGCGGTCTTTTTTTTAATGTCTACATTTTTTGTAATAAGCGCACTGATGCAATCTCAGGTCGTTTTTTTGTTTTGACCTTGTAACCCATTTTTCTTTCTTATTTTTTTTCTCGGTTTCTGGGGTCCGCCCGCGGCGGCCACCATAATCTTAGCCATTGTTTTAGATGGCACAGTTCCAGGGTCCTCCCGGTTGTTGTAAATCTTTTGGGCAATCTCTATCAAATTAGGCAGTAACTTTTTTTTTAAACTCTTTTAACTTTTGCAATGTCTTTTTGATGTCTGGGGCCAATTGAGTAGCGCAAGCAGTATTAATAGCACGCCTACTTTTAGGTGTTTCAGGATCTATAGGGGTGTACAGGCGGTAGGCTCTACAGAGGCGTTCTAGAAACGCCGCCGGGGCCTCATTGGGCCCCCGCACCGTCTCGCTTATCTTAGACAGGTGGGTCGGCTTTTTGGCCGCTGCCCGTGTACCCCGGAGCAGAGTCTGGCGATACTGACCGAGCGCCCCCTCACCTCCATCCTCATTGGGATCCCAGTTGGGGTGCACGGAGGGAAACACCCGCTGCACCCAGACAGGAGGCTGTCCGTGCGGACCAGGAGTCGTCTTGGCTGCTTTTTCTTGAATGCCCTCTCTCCTGCAAGGGGAAGGGAGCCGGTAGAAGCTGTTGCCCGTCGCCCCAGGGTGGCCCATGGGTACAGAGACGTCTGCAGGAGAGATACCAGTCGCTGCGGCTTCTCAGAGAAAGACGGGCTTTGATTTTTTTAATTATACAGATCAGTGGTCGAAAAGGGAACAGAGACCACAAATGGGGGGCGGTGAAACCCGGGCCCCACAGGGGCCTGTCTCAGAGGAGGAATCGGGGCTCCCGGGGGAGGCCAGACAGGCTGGTGCCGGGAGCCGCTCCGAGGACGCGGTGGGCTGGCAGAACCAGCAGGGCTCTGGGGCCCCTTATTCGACTCATCTGGTGTTTTGGAGACTGGGGGAGCATACGGAGGGGGCCCCCTAAAAGCGGGTACCCCTCCGTAAGATCTGTCAACACAGGATGTGATTTCTGCTTTGTCTGCTTTTTTTTGGTCCCTTTTGCCGGGTTAGGTATCATCACTGTTTTTGGTGTCTTACGTGGCTTTTTGTATTGTTGGAGCCACCTCGGATTATCTGTTAATATGTCACTTTATATCCGAATACAGGGAATTTGGTCCCGGTGCCGTGGGCTTTTAAAGATGGTAGCTTGTATCCGATGAGTTAGAGTGGCCTGGGTGTTTTTTTTGGGTGATCACCCTGCACCAAAGGTGGGCCACTCCTGCTCATAAAATTTTTATAAGTTCAAAGAATTTCTGGTAAATCTGTATGGCGTGGCGCGCCTTTGGAAATCCTGAAAATTTTTTAAGAAACATATAATCGGTGTATAATTAGCGTAGGTCACCCGAGACATGGACTGGCCCATTTTGCCCGTTCAGGCAAACAGTTGAAACTGACTCTGAGGGTGCCACCCAACCACTGGAAAGTATGTAAGGATACTGGCCCCTCAGCAGTCGACCTGAGCCATTTCTGGCAAGAGAAGCCACGATCAGGACACAAGTTGGAACCAGTGCGAGAGTCCCGGCTGGGGCGGCCGCCGTGGGACCTTCCAAGGCAAGGGCGGTGAGGCGCCCCTGCCGTCGTATTTGTGTCTCGGATTATGAACCGCGTCTATGTTTTTTTATTTGGAATCCCGTACAGACCTGAAACAGCAGAGGGTCAGAGTCTGTACTAAGAGAAACAGCAGAGGGTCGGGAATAACAGCAGGGTCCTGGGGCCGGCTTAGGATGACTTAAAGCCAATTGATCTCAGTGACTGTCTCTAGTCCGACTTGCCCTTAGTAGCTGACACAGATGAAGGCCGCTTTGACTGTGCTTTCCGCTGATCCTTTGTCTGACACTAGGGACAACAAGGTCGTTCCTGACCGGGCCTCTGCCCCCGCCTCCGTCCCCCGTCCCCGGTTCTCGTCTTTCTCAATCGGTCTTCCAAACTCCATCTGCTTTATGTGGGCGACACTAACAACGACAGCCAAACACGAGACACACAGCACGCCACAAAACACGCAAAAGGTACAACCACGTCACAACCAGACAGAGAACAGGACTAAATCAGAGGCTCTCAGGTGACGTCTCACCTCTTGGAGCCACAGACCCGGGGCACGGGCTGCGTCCAGCCTCCCACGGGTCCCCAGAAGGGCCCCCGGCTGAGGAGACAGGGAGCTCACCGGGGATCGGAACCTGCAGGCTCGGCCTGCAGCTTGTAGGGTTCTAGGACACTTGCGACTGGCACGCAGTCTGGCCTGCCCGGGGCTGAGGACAAAGGTGCCCCTCAGGGGCCCCCCTGGGGCAGGCTCCCGGCCTCGCACCGGGTCTCCAAGCACCGGGGGTCACCAGGTGCCCCGGTCGCAGGGGCGATCTCGCTGGGGCCCGTAAGTGTTAGGGTGCGGGGTGCGAGAAGGACCCCCTCGAGGCCGAGTGAGCCACGTCGGGAGTCTTCAGTAGCTGGCCGGCGACTGCTTTTCGTGTCATCACGGACGGCGGCACAGAGAGCAGTCCAGGGCCGAGAAGGTGAGAAGACTTTGTATTAACCTGGAGGGGGCTATGTGATATTAAACACGACACAGTGGAACAAAAATAATTATATATTTTCTAGCCGCGGGGTCTGGGACCTGCCTCAGACCACCTGTCTGGCCTGGGGACTGATGACAATCTTTGAGCAAGCAAGGGGACAGAAGCAGAGAGCGTCAGTTAAGGCAGGGAGCATTTTCTTTTGGGTGAGGCAAGTAAATTTTATTACAGACAACTAAACTTATATAATCAGTTACAAGGTCATTGCTTACGGAGTATAGATTTTTTTTATTAGGGCGAGGTTTACAAAGTACAAGCTTTTTACTTTACAAACAAAAATAAGTCTTAAAAGAATGCTTTCATATTAACTTTTTATGTTTTTAAGACCTACTGTGACATCCCCAGATACCACAAACCTGCCCACACTGAGTCCAGCCACACAGGATGTGCAGACTAGAAAAATCCACCCTCCCTTCCTCCTCCTCTGGACGCCCCTCCTCCCTTCGGTTGGGGAAGGGGCCAGAGAAGGCAGAAGAGGACCCACTGCCCCGATTTCGGTTCGCTCTAAAATGTTCCACGCGCGCCAGGAATTCATTGCCTTCCCGGAAGGGCTTGAGCGTCTGGAATGAGAAGCCTCACGGAAGAGACCGTTGCTTCCGTTCGCCCCGGGTTCCTGCTGTCCTCGTTCTCCCCCTAAGGCAATGAAACTGGAACCGTTTTTGAGACAGCGGCTTAGCGGAGCAAGGTATCTTAAGGAAGTACGTGACAGAGAAGGGGGCAGGGAAGGCAGCAGCTAAGATATTTAAAAATCGCTGCCCCAGCATTTTAGTTCCTTGCAAATTAAGGCACCGCAGACTCTAGCGTGTGTGGTGACGAGGAATTGGATCACAGTCGTGTCGCAGAGCAGTACCTAGACTACCGCCTGCAGGTGACAGACACCCGCGTGGAAGATCGTGATTTCCAGCCCAAGGAGCCAGCATTTGAACCCTGTGCACCTAAGTTTCGGTTATGATTTCCCATCGACATTTCTGTGCTGTCTGTAGCCGAATGTTGTTTTACAAATCCTCTGTTAAAGCAGAAGGGTGCTAGGAGTGGGTCACAGCAGCCCTTACAAGCTGGGCCAGAAAATTTCAGCAGGTGAGTAATTTAAACTTTGGATCCTCAAAAAAGAAAATAAGGCCGGGCACAGGGGCTCACGCCTGTGATCCCAGCACTCTGGGAGGCCGAGGCAGGAGGATCGCTCAAGGTCAGGAGTTCGAGACCAGGCTGAGCAAGAGCGAGACCTCGTCTCTACTAAAAAAAAAGAAAAATAGAAAGAAATTAATCAGACAACTAAAAATATATAGAAAAATTTAGCCGTGCATGGTGATGCCCACCTATAGTCCCAGCTATGCAGGAGGCTGAGGTCGGAGGATCTCTTGAGCCCAGGAGTTGAAGGCTGTAGTGAGGTGTGAGCATCCACTGCACTCCAGCCTGGGACACAGAGTGAGACACCTTGTCCCAAAAAATGGGAGAGAAGGGAGGGAGGGAGGGAGGGAGGGAGGATGGACTGGGAAACACATAGCCCAAAAGTACAGAAAGAGCAGAGCCAGCGGAGTGAGGGTTCAGCCACTTTAAGGAACTCGTGTCTGATAGCGCCGGCTCCTGATGGGCAGACGTTATAATTGATAAAAAGCTGATTATCTGGAGTTACCTCCCGCAGCCGCCGCCGCCACCGCCGCCGCCGCCGCCGCCACGCTCCTAGCGAGCCCCAGAGCCCTTAAGCGTGAGGCGCGAGCCCCCGAAACCCCCAAACCGCATTCACATGCTCAGGCGCACCCCGGCGCCCAGGCCTGCGCCGTGGTGCCCTGGGAGCGGTCCTTCAAGCAGCGGCGGAGCTTCGCCGACCGCAGCAAGGAGGTGCAGCAGGCCCGCCACCAGCACCCCAGGAAGATCCTGGTGATCATCGAGCGCTACCAGGGCGAGAAGCAGCTGCCGGTCCTGGACAAGACCAAGTTCCTCGTCCCGGACCACGTCAACGGGAGCCAGCTGGTCAAGATGATCCGGCGCCGCCTGCAGCTGAAGCCCACGCAGGCCTTCTTCCTGCTGGTGAACGACCACGGCATACTCAGCCTGTCCACGCCCATCGCGGACATCTACGAGCAGGAGAAGGACGAGGACGGCTTCCTCTACATGGTCTACGCCTCCCAGGAGACCTTCGGCTTCTGAGCCAGCAGCCCCTGCCTGTCTGCCCCCCACCCACCGGAGGCTGTGCCCCCTGTCTGGACCTGCCCACCCCTGACAGTTCCCTGGCTCCCCGGTCTACACGTGCTGTATGTATCTGTGGTCATTGTCCCTCTGCAGAATAAAGAGTGCTGAGGCCTGCCTGGCCAGAAAAAAAAGAAAAAAGTTGATTATCTGGGAGGCCGAGGCGGGAGGATCGCTCGAGGTCAGGAGTTTGAGACCAGCCTGGGTAAGAGCTAGATCCCATCTCAACTAAAAATAGAAAGAAATTAGCCAGACAACTAAAAATATATAGAAAAAATTAGCCGGGCATGGTGGCACATGGCTGTAGTCCCAGCTACTCAGGAGGCTGAGGCAGGAGGATCGCTGGAGCCCAGGAGTTTGAGGTTGCTGTGAGCGAGGCTGACGCCACAGGACTCTAGCCCGGGCAACACAGTGAGACTCTGTCTCAAAAAAAAAGAAAAGGAAATAATGTGAAGTAAAACCAACTAAAAAGTGATTCTTGCACATGAACTATCACGTTTAAAATGTGTTTTTTAGAGAGCCTCAGTCTTACTGATTGCAAACACTTTTTTTCTTCTGTGTATTGCTTTTAAGAGAGCCATCAGTTAGCTTTCAGACACTAGGTTAATGCATTTTGCACTTAGCTGTACTGGGTGATGTTTTTCATTATTTTAGGACGCCACCATGAGTCCTGCAATAAAATATGTAATGGGGTTGAGAGCTGGGGAGGAGGATCCACTGCTGTACAGCTAATAAATCATGACAGATTAACAAGTGCTCCAAAAAAAAAAAAAAAGACAGCTGATGCCACTGTCTATCCATTCCTCATTCTGTGGCAGGCTGTTCTGGGCACTGAAGTCTGAAATATTCAGGTTGCCAAGGTGGGCAGATCGCTGGAGGTCAGGAGTT